GACCACTAAAACACACGAGTCTGAGGTTTACGATTTGATGCACTTTTCTGTGTGTACATCCCACGTACCTATCGCCTCAATAAAAACTGAGATCATTTCCATATACAAGGAACACTTCCTCCTGCTCCTTCCCCATGATTCTACTCTGGAGATGACTGGCATCCCAGTACCTACCACTGAGCTTCATTTAGCCTGTTCTTGAATTTCATCTGTATGGAGTCAATAGTTTGTGAAGAGACTCCAGAACCTGGCACACGACAGGTATACCATGTGAGAAAAAGCCTTGGTTCTTAAGCTACCTGGAGAGTGTGTCACTGGGAAACGGTGGGAGGTTAGTAACCTGTCCAGAGTAGGAGGCTGGTCAGGCTCCCTGATTCTGATCTGAAGCTCCCTGGTGGCTTCAAGACAGTGCCTTCTCTGGCTTTAAAGAGATGGGTCTCATGTTCTTCTGGGCAAGCAGTGCCCCCTGCTGCCTGTTATCGTGGCCCTAGATCCTTCTCCGTGGGGAAACAGGATCACGCAGGCCAGGATCCCAGTACACTGATGAGCACAGAGCAGGACCTTGTGAAATGAAGTTCACCTGCCATTTTATTTTCATTGGAAAAGAGATTTTCCTCAGCTTTGGGGATTTTTCTTCCCTAGAATAGATTCAGGGAGATCCTTTTGGTGGAGCATTGCTGCCCCCCTGTGGGCATCTGGTAACACTACTATAGAGCAAGACATCCAAGCTTGGTGGTTTTCATTCATTTCAAGGTCTCATGTCCTGTGGCTCCTCTCCTGCAAAATCCTGGTCCGCTGGCCACTGAGAGTTAGATATCCACATCCTCCAGCAGTTAAGTCTTAGTTTATGGTGGTGGCAAGCAAGTGTGGGACTTCTGGTATGAGAGAGAAAGAGAGAGAGAGAGAGAGAGGGAGAATATCAGTCCCAATTGTGTGAGTAGGAGGTGGGGGCAGATAGAGCTCCCATCCCTCCTTCTCAAGGGAATCTGGGCTGGGTGGATGCTTTGAGAGTCTGTCTGGTACTGTCTAATGAGATCTATTCTTGGGGCGACAGAGGTGGGGTGAGGGAGGCTTCTTAGCAGGGGGACCAACAGCCCCTCCTATGTGTTTTGGTGGCTTTTTTTTTGCACCTGTGGCTGGGTGGTGGTGTAACGGCCCAGCCTGCCTCCTCTTGGCACGTGGCTTGGGGTGATGTTATCTCTAACTCTGTATTTTTAACTCTTCTTTCCAGAGGATGTGGCTTCTGTGGGAGAGCTTCAAAGGGTACCCTATTTGTCCCTGTCAGCAACCATGACGTCAGGGAAATGGGAGGGGACTGCCCCGGGCTCAAACACCTGCAAGGAAGTGGGAGACTTTTTCCACTTCCTGTTCTACTTCTGGCTACTGACTTCGATGTCTGACCTGCTTATTAATGCAGCTGGATGTGTACTATCAGAGGAAACCCTCAGCACATGTGTGTATGAGTAAAGGGAGGCCTGAAGCCTGTCCTACTGGCCAGGTGGCCTAGACACAGACAGAGGTAGGGCTGGTGGTCCTCAGACTACCCCAGCAATCAGCACATCTATTTGTGAGAATGTCAGCACTGGCTTTCCTCATGGCTTGTTTCCCTATGTTCTCCCATCGCATTCAGAACCCCTCCTTCTCACATGTTGTTGATGAAGAAGGCATATTGGGGACAAAGTTTAGGATGGGTCACATGGAGAGACTAAAGTAGACCAGGAAAAATACCCTTTGGCTGTGGATATTGGTGTGATCGCATATGACTAGTGCTCACACACCCAGAACAACTGTCTTCCAGCTCTGTTGGGTAGAAGAGCGACTGCCTGTGGTCTTCCCTGGTCAAGGGTTCACCATTCAGGTTTGGATATTTCTTGCCAAGTTACTTTTTGCGCTTAGCATAACTGAAACCATGTCTTTCCTGGCCTCTTCCTGCACGAATCCCCACTTTTCTTTCTCTGAGATTGTATTTCCCACCTCCCTACCCTTCAAACTCAGCTTCCTCTCTAGTGCCACGTGGTTCATTTGGTGACATCTATTATGTGCCAACAACTGTGTGAGCTACTGGGGGACACACTGATGGATGAGGCATACTTCCTGTCCCAAGGCCCACAGTCAGAGGGACTTCCTTTCTGAGTGTTACCTGAGGTTTGATGGTATTAGGGCTTATGTGATCCCAGGAGAACTGGATGGTGTAGGTGGACCAACAAAGCTAACACTTTAAGACTCAGATAGCATCTATGGAGGGTAATAGCTGCTCTGTCAAAGCCAATGACCCTAAGTGGATGATCCTAAAGTAGTGGCCATCCCTGCCTAATTTCTGGACTAGACAGTGCTGCCAACTCAGACAAGTCTGAGACAAGTCTCTGAGGGGTTTTCAGACAATCCTCTAGAGTCCTAGGTTGGGGTTATGAGAGGCCTTGCCTCCAGGTTTCCTCACGTGCTTACCTCCAGGCTAAACAATGCCTAGTTCCTTACAGCTGGGACCTCTGCTATGGTGGGGTTAGCCCAAGAGCTAATCTAATGAGCACGGGAGACTTTCTCCTGGACCTCCTCTCAAGTCACTTTGACTCCTTTTAACATGCAGAGCCAGACACAAGCACAGAACGGTCAAATGATGCCTGTGTCCCCAGCATTCACCTTCACTCCACCTGCTCCTGTTCTTGCCCTGAGACCTCTGTCCTCACTGGCTACAGACTGAGTGCCTGAGACATGGGGGTGGTGGTGGGGGGGTACTTTCAGGATGGAGAAACACTGGGTTTGGGTAACTCTTGTCTTCAAAGGGGGAAGATCTGACTCAATTCTCCTGCCCAGGCCTTTCACTTTGCTCTGACCTTGAGCTGGGCCTGAGGGAAGGAGGAAAACATTTCTCCTTGCATAGGTCTTCAGATGGCCATAGGGTCACAGTGACATCTGCGTCCTGCCACTCACTGGGCTAGAAAGGCTCTACAGGCTTCCTTAGGCTTATTTTAGCCTGAGCCTCCTCCAAGCTTCATGGCAGAGTCTGTTTGGCTCATTCACTGACTTCCAGGCTCCTGCACCTGCCCCCAGTCCTGGGTGGGGAGTGGGGGGGTCCCTTAGCCTCAGCCTCAGTGTAGCTGATTCCCAGAGCAGGTCTCCCCCACCCACACGCAGCCACCCACACTTTCCTTGCCTGGATCTGTTTTATATAGAACAAAGTGAATTACCGCTTTAGGGGAAAAAAAAGACAAACTAATTTGCCCTGAGTTTTTAACGGTTGATAAAGGCTTGCTCTACTAACCCTCCCAGGGGCATTTTCATTTAATACAGAGAAGAGAATGCTTTAATTAAAAGAAATTCCCAGTGGTAGGAACTCTGGCACTGTGTCAGAGGAGATGGTTTTAGGAAAGAGGCCTTGGAAGTCCTGGTGGCAAATACCACCTTTGAAAGACAATCCCTGTCTTCTCCTGTGAGTGACCCCACTTTGATTGCCAGTCTGGAGGGCCATTGTTCCATTTAGTAATCTCAGAGGAATGTTATTAAAGCTGAGGGTCAGGTAGTCTAGATAGAATTGGACAGTCCGCAAGGTGCTGGCTCTTACTTCTATAGGAGACCCAGGGAGCTGCGGGGAGCTTTCTGTCCTATGTGATTATTTATATTTTTGTTGCAGTCCTAAGGCTTGATCTCAGGGCCTAGTGTTGTCCTTTAGCTTTTTTGCTTTCAGCTAGTGCTCTATCGCTTGAGCCATAGCTCCACTTCTGGCTTCTTGGTGGTTAATTGGAGATAAGAGTCTCATAGACTTTCCTATCCTGGCTGGCTTTGAACGGTGGTCTTCAGATCTCAGCCTCCTGAGTAGCTAGGATTACAGGCATGAGCCACTGGAACCTGTCCTACCTGACTTTTCAGATATTGTATTTCTGAAGCGCACAGAGGTGGGGCACAGGCACCAGGTCACATATTAAAGCTGATAGTTCCATCCCTGTGAGAGGAAGCACATCTGAATTGAAGCTGGCTGGCTTTGAACATGTCTGGCTGGTATGGTGTGCTAGACATGGAGACATTTGGGGGAAGAAGCCCCTCCAGGCCTTAGGAAGTTTTGGGCCTTGGTTTTGGCCTTGGTCAGGTATTATTGGGTGGGTGACTGAGTCATCTCTGAGATGTGTTCGTATCAGAACCTCTGTCCCAGGGGCTGGGAAGTTGGCTCAGTGGTAGAGTGCTTGCCTTGCATGCATGAGGCCCTGGGTTCGATTCCTCAGCACCACATAAGCAAAAAAGAAAAAAGCTGGAAGTGGCGCTGTAGCTCAAGTGGTAGAGCACTAGCCTTGAGCTGAAGAGCTGAGGGACAGCGCCCAGGCCCAGAGTTCAGGCCCCACGACTGGACCCCCCCCCAAAAAAAAAAAAAAACCCTCTGTCCCAGAGGGAAGGGCACAATAGTTAGAGGCTTAGGGGAGAGCTTATGGGGTCCCAGGGACTCCACCTCTTGTCTCTGAGGTGAGGATGTCTTTGCTTGAGAGGAGAGTGTATCTCCCTTTCTTCATTTTCTTGTCCAAGATGGTGGAAATGTAAAATCCTGATGGGGACTCACCTCCCTCCAGCTCTGTTCTTAGACTGGTATCTTCAAGGGCCTGGGTCTGGGGCAGAAAAATGTACTGTTTCTGTGTAAAATCAATCCCAAGAGGAGAGGTGAAGATGTTTCTGGATGGGCAGTAGGTGCCATTTTGGGAACACTTGCTACGTGGTCTCTGCCTGCCAGATTCCAACTACAGATCACTAGCACCATGTATAATGATTTCTACGAGGTGGTGGCCCAGGGGTGGGTCATGAAAATGGAAGGGCATGGCTCCAAACTTGTGATGAAGGTTTTCCTGGCCATTAGCTTACTAAGTGGAAATTTTTAAGCAAATATTCCAAGAAGGGATTGTCTTAAAACAGCTTAAGTTAGGCATTCTGGAAAGCATAATGAACAGGTGCCTTGGTTTCTCTCTAGTGATCAACTGCATGCAGAAAATGCCCCCAACCAAACCAGTGAAACAGAGGCCCAGTTTCTGGTCTCTAAGTAACTTTTAATGAAGTCAAGGGCAGCAGAATGATCCAAAGTATAGCTTGGATACATAGCGGAGCAGAGAGGGCCTAGACAATGAGATCATCTTTCCCCACATCTTGAGAAACACTAATAAAGATATTTTTATGAACACTATTGAATAAAATCCATCAACGCTCATAATATTTTCTAGGAATGCTAGTTCCTGGAGATGCTATGGAAGACCCATTATTCAATGGAAGCACAGAGGAAGTCTTTGGAGAGGGCAGGGAGGTCCTCCACAGCCAGGAGACGCTGCCGCAGCCTCCCCGTTTGCTGTGAACATGAACTTGACTATGTCAGCCGCCATGAGGGAACAGAAGGAAAGCAGTAGTCATTAGCAGCAATCCAGCAAGCTTCATTGCAAATTCAGGTGGGATTCCGTGGAGGCCAGAGACATGAGGGGAGCCTTCTTCTCCATGGGGTAGAAGAGGAGGGATGAAGGAGGGAGCTCGGGATCTTCTTATCATCTTGCCAACCTGGGGTGAGGAAGAGCAAAAGTCAGGCTGGATAGGGAGGAGGGCCAGCACTTTAGGGATGTGATGGAGATAGCTCTCTCGAAGCTGTAGAACTTGATCTGTACTAGGTGGGGGATGGGCATGAAGGCTCAAGACAAGATTCACGTTAATGAGTATAATGTCTTCTTATATTGAGCGGAGAGAGTTATGCTTGGGAGAGAAGACACAAGGAAAGGGACTGGGAACCCCTTTAGCCTCACAGGGAAAGAGGTACAGCAGGAGGTATGTAGCATACATGAGTTGGTGGCTAAGTTTCTCTTATCTTTCACACATTAGCTGTGTGGTCCTTAAGGTTACTTGGCTTCATTTTATTTCTAAATTGATAGGAGGCTGAGATCTGAGGATCATGATTTGAAGCCAGCCCTGGAAGGAAAACCTATGAGACTTCTGTCCCAATTTACTAGCCAAAAGCTGGGAGTGGAGCTGTGATTCAAGTGGTAGAGCACTAGCATTGAGGGGAAAAAGCTAAGACACAGCATCTGTACCCTGAGTTCAAGCCCCAGTGCTTGTACAAAATAAAATAAAAGGAAGCCAATAACTGTACTTCATAGGGGAGGCATGGCTCACTCAAAGAGGCCAAAATGAATGTATTACAATTAAAAAACACAAAAACCTCCAAATGTTTCTGCCATTGTTAACAAAAGGAATTTTTAATAAGGAAGAACAGAGCTAGGTACCAGTGACTCATGCCTGTAATCCTAGCTACTCAGGAGAATGAGACCTGAGGATTATAGTTTAAAGCCAAGCAGGGCAGAAAATAAGACTCTTATCTCCAACTAACAAGCAAAAAGCTGGAAGTGGCGATATGGCTCAAATGGTAGAGCTCCTGCCTTGGGTGAAAAAGTCAAGTGCAAGTGTAAGGTCCTGGGTTCAAACCCCAATATTGGCACCAAAAAAAGGAGGGGGGAAGGAAGAGAAGAGTTCTGTGGGCAAGTGTTAGGATTTTTTTTTTTGGGTCCGGTCGGAGGGCCTGAACTCTGGGCCTGGGCGCTGTCCCTCAGCTCTTCAGCTCAAGGCTAGCTCTCTACCACTTGAGCCACAGCGCCACTTCTGGCTTTTCCCTTTTTGCTTATGTGGTGCTGAGGAATCGAACCCAGGGCCTCATGCATGCAAGGCAAGCACTCTACCACTGAGCCACCTTCCCAGCCCAAGTGTTAGGATTTAAAAGCAAATTCCTATAGGGAAGTTGGAGCCTCACCCTGAGACCCAAATCCCCACCCTCCTTCTTCCCTCCTTTGCTGGTCTCTCACCTCAGCTGGACCACAGCCGCAGGGTCATGAACACGTTGTATCCTGCCACTTTGAGGAGGAGGATGCGGAGCCCGATCACTATCAAGTTTTGAAAGTTTAGGTTCATATCTGTAAAACCAAAAGCCGTTATGTTATGTGTGTGCACCTCCACACACCTCCCCACGATGTACCTACCAATAGCTTCCCCAAAGCTGGGAGGGACAGATGGGGGTGAGCCTCCATTCCTGGACCTATCTCTCTTTGGGCTTCTGTGAGTTTTTCCTCTTGGGTCAACAGTATTGTGTTTCAAAACAAAAATGCTAATTGGACTTGGTCCTTATTTTATTTCTGAGTCCTACTGGGGATGGTAGGTGCTCAGGACAGTCATAGTCCTTCAGGCCTGGGCCCCCGGGTGAGACTAGTGGCTGACAACTGGTGATAACTCATATGGGAATGAGGTAGTGGCCGGGGTTCTTGAGAGAAAGGATCTGTCTAAACCCGTGTGAATTTTGCTCTTTCCCTTGAAAGAAAGCAACCCTTCTCATTTTGCCCCTCCACAGCTATGGAGGAAAGTGTCTGGCTCGTTCAGGGTGCTGTTGAAGGGAATCAGAAATTTCACAGCTGGACACCCAGCTGTTTTCTTTGGCTCTCCTGACACAGGAACTGCTGAAATAAATACAGAGGCCTAAACCTAAGACTGAGTCATTGGCCTAGGAAAACTGGGGATCCACCCTCCAAGAACTTAGAGTGGAAAAAAAAATTTAGATATGCTGAGAGGGATTCAAGAAAGATCCTGGTCAGCTTTGAGTAGCTGAGAAATCTCCAGCTGCTTCATCTTCAGATCCATTCCCCAGACCCTTTTCTCTCTCCAGTGAGGGTTCTTGGGCCCATTACCTCCCCAACATTGTGTAAAGCCGGGTTAGACCCCTCTCTTACCTGTTTCAAAGCTTTTCTCTACCAACTTGGCATTGCAAGAATGATCTACAATGAAAAACAAAGAAATTTTCTTAGATTCCAGAGCAGGCTGACCCTTCTACCCAGACCTTCCCAATGGTTATGTCAGTGAATGTCTAGCAACCTTTCCATGGTGAGATTTTTTTTTTTTTTTTTGCCAGTCTTAGGGCTTGAACTCAGGGCCTGGGCTCTGTCTTTGAGCTTCTTTTGCTTAAGGGTTGCAACTTTATCACTTGAGCACAGCACCCCTTCCGGCTTCTTCTGTTTATGTGGTACTAGGGAGTCGAACCCAGGGCTTCATGCATGCTAGGGAAACACTCTACCATTAAGCCATATTCCAGCCTGGTGAGGGAGCTTGTTGCTTAGGGTACCTACGAGGGCAGCCATGGCCTTGACAAGACTGGCACTTTGGCTTCCAAGTCATTCAACAAATACTGGCTGTTGAAGACACAAGCTTCATGATGTGAGCACAAAGAGCCATCAACACAGACACTGTCCTTGGGAAGGCTCCAGTCATAGTCATATAGGGGCACTGAGAAGATACATAGTGACAAGGCCCATAGGGCTTCTTATATGTTCCAGAAAGTTTTGATCCCCAGCTATGTTGGTTTGTTCTCTTCATGTCAAGATATCATGTCCAACTACCATCCTGAATGCTTTGTTGTCCTTCTCATATCTGCCTGGGTATATCTTTGACACTCAAGTGGCATTGCTCATTCAACTCCCTGCATTCAACTAGTCTGAGCCTCCATTCTTCTTCTTCTGCTACTACTCTTGGCATATTATTTACTCTTCCCACAGCTTGATGTGTGTGTGTGTGTGTGTGTGTGTGTGTGTGTGTGTGTATGTGTGCATTAGGGCTTGAGCTCATAGGGCTGAACACTGTCTTTTAGCTTTTTTGCTCACTGTTGGCTCTCTACCACTTAAGCCACAGCTTCACTTCTAGCTTTTTGCTGGTTAAGTGGAGATAAGAGTTGCATGGACTTTTTTGCCTGGACTTTTTTGCTTTGAACCAGGATAATGACAGGCATGAGCCAATGATACCCAGCAAGCTTGATCTTTTAAACATGTAAATTGGGAGTTACTTTACAGCTTACAGCCCATCAGTAGCTTCCCAGTGTATTTATTTATTTTTTGGGTCCGGTTGTGGGGCCTGAACTCTGGGCCTGGGCGCTGTCCCTCAGCTCTTCAGCTCAAGGCTAGCGCTCTACCACTTGAGCCACAGCGCCACTTCTGGCTTTTTTCTTTTTGCTTATGTGGTGCTGAGGAATTGAACCCAGGGCCTCTGGCATGCAAGGCAAGCGCTCTACCACTGAGCCACCTTCCCAGCCCTCCCAGTGTATTTAGAATAGTATCTTCCTTCATATGGCTGTGATACCTGTGACCTGCCCTTCCCAGGAATTTTTCCTTTTTTGATGAAGATGGAGCTTCCTAGGAGGAGAACCCTAATCTGATTTGACTTGATTTTTCTAATGCCTGGTATGTGTAACTGCACAGTTGGTGGGTGTGGGATGAATGAGTGGCTACTCTAAACAACAGTAGGGAGGGGGGGACTTGTAGAGTGTTAAGGTAAAACCAAGTTTGAGTCAGTGTCCACCACTGCCATCTTTTCTTTATTCTTTTCTCCTCCCTTCTTTTTTTATTTTCCTTTTCTTCTTTCTGTTTTTCTGCTAGTATTGGGGCTTGAATTCAGGGCCTGGGCACCGCCCCTTAGCTTTTATGCTTAAGGCTGGTGCTCTACCACTTGAGCCACAGCTCCATGACTGGCTTTTTGCTGATTAATTGGAGATAAGATTTTCACAGATTTGTTTACTCAGGCTGTTTTCCAACTGCCATCCTCAGATTTTAGCCTCCTGAGTAGTTAGGATTACAGGCATGAGCCATCAGCACCCAGCACCACCATCCTCTCTTCATTGCTTTTGGCCCAAAACATTCTGCAGCATAGCAGGATGTGGTTCACTGCTCTATGGTAAAAAGAGGGTGAAGGTTTTGCTGACAACTGATAAGCCTGTCAATATCAACCTGAACATCTTTTAGACATCACTGACCTGTGCTTTGGATAGAACTATGGCTCTCCTGAAAGCAAGGAAACAGCTTGCAGAGCTACTGGGAGACACTCACCTGAGCTAGGGAGGGAGACTTTCTCCTGGAAGACACCAGTGCACTCAAAATCAGTTTTTTTGCTCCAGGCCACTGCACCATTGCTCTTGAAGTCTATGGACCTCATGTCCAGCACAGTTTTTCCAGAGTAAAATACTTCAGAGTCCATGGCTTCAGACCCCTGCGTCACATTGATCTGAGAATCAAAATCAGTGAACAGGCAGATGGAGGTGTTTCGGAATTTCGGGTCTTTCATCTGGTATACCGAGGGCTCAGGGTTTTTGATATCTGTGGATCAAGAGGACCATGGTTAGGAGAAACTCTTGCTTCCCTGTTTTACCTCAATCTAGGCTTGAGTCCAGGTGCCAATGATGGATAGCAACAGATCTCTTTGGGGCTAGCCACTCTTCTCATATTTTTGGGTAATATTTTAGAAAACAACTGCTCTTACCATTCTAGAAAACCAGAAATGTAGGGCTACTTATTTATATCTATGAATATACGTATATGTCTACTTGTGTATATATATATGTATATGTATACATATATGTATACACATACACACATACATATATGTCTACTTCTGTATGTATATATGTATATGTATACATATACACATATACATATAGACTTGTTATTATTGTTTTTGTGCCATACTGGGGCCTGAGTGCTATCCCTTAGCTTTTTCACTCAAGGCTAGTACTCTACCACTTGAACCATACACCAGTTCCAGCTTTATGCGGGTTAATTGGACATAAGAGACATAAGGGGCTGGGAATGTGACTTAATGATAGAGTGCTTGGCTAGTATGCATGAAGCCCTGTGTTCAATTCCTCAGTACCACATAAACAGAAAAAGCTGGGAGTAGTGTTCAAGTGGTAGAGTGCTAGCCTTGAGCAAAAGAAGCTCAGGGACAGTGTCCAGGCCCTGAGTTCAAGCCCAAGGACTGGAAAAAAAAATCTTAAGGACTTTTCTGCCCAAGTTGGCTTCAAATTTGATCCTCAGATCTGAGCCTCCTGAGTACTTAGGATTACAGGTGTGAGCCACTGGTGCTTGGTGTTAATGATATATCTTAAATACTTCTTAAGTGGAACTTCTTTAAAACCCCAACAAACCTAGACAACAATATTGCTCCTGAGAGACAAAATAAGTGTAGAGAAAAGAGTCTCAGTAAAGTAAGCCTTCATCTAGAGATTTAGAGTGCTCCCCTCGCTTAGGCTGGGCATTGTCAGGAAATGGATGTGTATGATTTGCTGACATTAAATTGGAAAATCCTATCATATCACTAGGAGTTTTTTCTCTCATGGCTAAAATATTTGGACTACAACAACATCCGAATCAAAGTCACAACTCTTCTATTTGCTAGAGAAAAGGTTTTGAGTTAGTCATACCAGCTCTTTAAAGTCTTAGAAATTTTGTCTGGTAAATGGAGATGTTATGTTATCCACTTTTCTGAACAAGCTAATCTGAGAAACAAATCATTTTTTTTTTTTGGTCCCGTCGTGGGGCCTGAACTCTGGGCCTGGGCGCTGTCCCTCAGCTCTTTAGCTCAAGGCTAGCGCTCTACCACTTGAGCCACAGCACCACTTCCGG